AGGACACCACAGAAACCAAGCTTGGGCTACCTGTGGTATAAACAAAGTCTTAAAAAATAATCAATTCAGGAATAACATTAATCTGGCTTTTGGTACTGCGCATACACACATGTTGGAAACAGCTGCCAAAAAAATAAGGGGTTCTAAGAAGAAAATTAAAACTCGCTTGAACCAAATGGAAGGAGCGATACAAGGTCGCAAATTTACCCCCCCCCCCCTCCACCCCAATCGCAAGAAATTGATAGTGCGCCTGTTAATTTTTTTACTCACAGTTTTTTCAGAGAATTAAGTCCCATTAGCATAGTGTTCGATACTTTTGTCAGTCGATTGTCAATCAGCGTCCTGTCAAATCAGATCACATGCTGTTAAAAGACACAGGTATCCCAAACAATTAAAAACGTCAATAGGACATAAGATCCTACTTTTATTGGGATCRGATTAATGATTCATTACTTACAATATTTCAAGGGAATTCTGGCGTTGGAAACTACGTGGCTCAATATTGTCAATCAAGTTACGATTTAAATTCCTAAAATGCAAGAAAAGTTTCATGAATAGTAACAACAACAAGCAATAAAAATAATAATGTCTTTTTACTTGTTCCTGACATTGTTACTGTTGCTGCTGTAGTTAAATTCATTGTTGCGGCCATTCCTGTCATTGCGCTATATCAAGGGCGCTAGGGCAAAAATTGGTGGTTTTTTAGCCGTTAGAAACTGTTTAAACTGTTACTCATCTGTTCTGTTATGTGCTGGCTTGATTTATTCAGTTTTCCGGTCCATATACGCCAAAAATACTGCTGTGACCAACGGTCCAATCGTATGTAACGAACTACTGTATCCTATACCTGCCTCGTGACCGCTTACGTAAGCGTACGCGTCGGTTAATAAGTTAATCCAAATCCCTAAATAACCAATCATTCTTGGTTACCCAAGATTACCCATTTCAGACCAGGTGTCATTCCCTCGAGAATCCTTTGTTTGAGTTGTATTCATATTCATGTGTCTTCTCATGCGCAACCGTTAAACAAAGAAATGATACTCTTGGGAATGACGCGTGGTCTGAAATTATTCAAACGTTACGCCCGAGCCAAGGAGGTCTATAGACCCCTTACAATACTCAAATCTCTGAAAACGAGAAGATTACAGGACATTGTAATAACTGTTTTCAAATGCCTTAATAATATGGCACCATCATACTTAAATTCAARCTTTAAGCATCGCCTTAGTTCATATAATTTAATGGGGGTTAGGAAGCTGTGGGTACCTAAAGCGATTACCACTAGGTATGAGCTTCATTCTCACTTTTTTAGGGGTTAAGCTTTGGAATTCTCTCAGGGATGAGCATAGGACTCTGGATTCTATTAGTAGTTATAAAACAAAAGTGAGGATACTTGACTTAACTTAACTTAGTTATTGATCATTTTTTACATCTTCATTTATTCATCTACTTAAGATTTGCTTTATTTAGTTTATATATTTTTCGGAGATACTAGCTTTTTTAGCTACTCTACAATCCGAAAAGGTTTCCAATTCTCAGGAGATTGAAATTCTTTCGTTTTGTCTTTCAAATTGTGCTCCTTTGGCAGTGGCGGATCTAGGGGTGGGTTTTGGGGGTTGCAACCCCCC